AAGTGCAACAAATTTCCACATTTTGAGAAACCACGCTTTGGCACCACAAGTGAGCGCTGCAGCAACCCGCTTAATGGGCTTTAATCTATCTCGCATATACCTTAGGTTTCTTTATCAAGCACTTCTCGGATACGGTTGAGTACGATGTGAATGGATTTCTGGAGAAGAATCGCGATACGGTCTCCAAGGAGCTGACAAATGTGCTGACGCAGTCCAACATGCAGCTGTGCAAGCAAGTGATGATACTCGAGGAGGTGGACACACTCGGCACGGATGCCAACAAGATTGCCACCACCTTAGGCGGACGTGTTGTAATTAGTGCTAACCGAAAACAGGTGCGTGACTCAGCCAATAAACCACGCACAGTCAACAAAATTTGTGATGCTTATTGTAATAATTGTATTGCTCATTTGTATTTCCATACGCTTGTTGTCCATCAACCACTGTTCACTGTACTATGCCCAATGTCCATTGTCCATTGTCCACTGTCCACTGTACTGCTAAACTGGGCCAACAGCAACTCAACGAGACGCGTCGAAGAGTTAGTGTTTCTGTCTTATAGACAAGTTTTCTATATATATATATGTCTTTTATACCATAATATGAATTGTGCCTAATGTTCATTTCTTTATCTAGGTCGTATCATCTAAGCAGCATAAGAAAACTGTGGGCTCACAGTTCCAGGAGAGTCTGGCCTCGCTCATCTCAACTTTACATGCCACAACGCCGCATTATGTGCGCTGCATTAAGGTATGTACTATATATATCCATATATATATCTGTTACTTCTTAAATACCTTTTTTACTCTTACAGCCAAATGATGACAAGATCGCCTTTAAGTGGGAGACGGCCAAGATCATTCAGCAGCTGCGCGCCTGCGGCGTTTTGGAAACTGTTCGCATTTCGGCTGCTGGATTTCCATCTCGCTGGCTTTATCCTGATTTCTATATGCGCTATCAGCTGCTGGCGCATCGCAGTCAAATCGATAAGAATGATATGAAGCAATCGTGCCGCAATATTGTGCTCAAATGGATACAGGACGAGGACAAATATCGCTTTGGCAATACGCAGATCTTCTTCAGAGCCGGTCAGGTGGCCTACTTGGAGCAGGTGCGCGCTAATCTACGCAAGAAGTACATCACCACGGTGCAGTCGGTGGTGCGACGTTTCATTAAGCGACGCCGCTATGTCAAACTGCAAAAAATCATCTTCGGCATACAGCGTCATGCACGTGGCTACATGGCGCGTATGCGTGCCCAGAAATTGAGAGAGGCGCGCGCCGCTCTGATATTATCGAAGTACGCACGTGGCTGGCTGTGCCGCCGTCGCTATTTGCGACTGTGCCACTCGGTTGCCGGCATTCAGCAGTATGCCAGGGGCATGTTGGCACGCAATCGGTTCTATGCCATGCGGGATTACTTCCGAGCTGTGCAGATCCAGCGGTTCGTGCGTGGCGTGTTGGCACGTCGCGCCTATCAGAAACGCCGGCGTAGCATAATCATTTGCCAGGCTGCTGTGAGACGTTTCTTGGCCCGTCGCCAGTTCAAGCGCATGAAGGCGGAGGCAAAGACCATCTCCCACATGGAGAATAAGTACATGGGATTGGAGAACAAGATCATATCCATGCAGCAGCGCATCGACGAACTCAATCGGGACAACAGCGCGCTCAAGCACAAGACCAGCGAGATAAGCGTCCTAAAGTTTGTTTACAATCGCCTTTATATAGTACATACTCTATATTCCTGATCTTTGCAGAATGAAGCTGGAGATGAAGAAGAACTTGGAGCATGAGTTCAAGAATATCAAGGCAGCTTGCTTGGATAAGGATAAGCTGATCGAGGCGCTGAATAAGCAGCTGGAATCGGAACGCGATGAGAAAATGCAGCTGCTGGAGGAGAACGGTCATTCGCAGGAGGAGTGGAACAAACAGAAGCAAATCTGGTGCATGGAGAACAGAGAGTTGCGCAAGCAAGTGGACTCCATGATCGAAATGGCAAAGAATGCCGCGGGCAATCAGCGCGAGCATGAGGAGCGCATGCTCACCGAGATAGACAACAAGGAGCTGAACGAAGCCTATCAGCGTGCCATCAAGGACAAGGAGGTGATCGAGAACGAGAACTACTTGCTGAAGGAGGAACTCAGTCACTTTCAGCAGCAGCATAACGGCATCGCCGCCTTTAACATGCATCACACGCGCACCGCCAGCAATGCCTCCAGTCAGAACGAGGATGATGTTGGCTATGGCTCTGCCAAAAATACGCTCGAAATAAATAGCAGATACCCAGACTTGAGGAATAAGAATGGTATGCAGGCTGTTATAATCCTAAGATATTAATAATAATTGGGGTTCCATTGCTTGCAGACTCTTTCTTGGACAATACCAGCATTGTGGTCAAGTTGCGCTCGATACTCGAGGAGGAGAAGCAGAAGCACAGGAGCTTGCAGGAGCAGTATGTTAAGCTGGCGAGCCGTAATAAGCCCACTGAGGATTCATTCCGGTAAGTAGCGCACATTTCGAGCCCTTTGTAAAACATACAACACACACACACACACATGCGGCTATATAGTCAGCTTTAGTCTAATTACAAATTATATATATTATGTATATTGTTGCCACACACTTGCCATCATAGCGTGTCCGAGCTTGAGGTAGAGAACGAGAAGCTACGCAGCGACTACGATCAGCTGCGAACGAGCATTAAACACGGTGTTGAGATCAACGAGCTGAATGGTAACATTCGAAAACATTCCCACTGCGTTCCATTTGCTATATTCAATTCAATCCCCTTTCCCCTACCCTCTCTCTCTCTCTCTCTTCCATCTCTTTCCATATGTGTTTGTAGCCCAACATGCTGCCCTCCAAGAGGAAGTACGTAGGCGGCGCGAGGAGTGCATCCAATTAAAGGCTGTGCTCCTGCAGCAGAGCCAAACGTTGCGCTCCATCGAGCCAGAAAGCCTGCAGCTGCGTGGCAGCGATGCCAGCAATGTGCACGAGCTGATGGAGGCGTTCCACTCACAGAAGCTAGTGAACAGGCAATTGGAATCAGAGCTGAAAGCCATAACCGAGGAACACAACAGCAAACTAATTGAAATGACTCAGGCCATTGAGCGCTTGAATAACGAGAAGGATGAATTGCAAGAGGTGCTATTCAAGAGCATAGACGAATCTGATCAGGACAATATAGAAACACTGAAGCAGAACGATCGATATTTGCGCCTGGAGCTGAAGAAGGCCATAACACAATATTTGCTCGTGCAGGACGAGCTGAAGCTGGCCAATGCCAAGCTAAAGGCCTACAGGCAGGACGGCGGCAAGCTGGAGAATCAGCTGGAGGAGGAAATGAGTCGCAACAAGGCGGCGAATAACAATAACAGCAACGATGTTGGCGCCAATGTGACCAAGCAGAAGTCTCAAAATCCGCTCGGCCTGATGAAGTTCCACAACAGCGATCTGGACAAGATATTGCAGCGTCTGCTGAGTAGCCTAACGCCTCGAACTGTTGTTGGCCTTTTACCAGGCTTTCCTGCTTATCTGATCTTTATGTGTATTCGGTAAAGTGGTGCAAAAATTTCAATCTATCTGCTCGATGAGCTAATCCTTATCCATTTGCAGCTATACCGACCTGACCAATGCCGATGACGATGTGCGCGAGCTATTGAGTAAATTTGTAATGCAAATCAAGAAAATGCATAGAACTCCACATCCCATTGAGAATCGCGTAATTTGGCTGGTTAACTCCATAACGTAAGATATCTGCTCTTAATGGTGGCTGAAAGAAATCTGATTGGTCTGTCTATCCATTTACAGACTCCTTAATCTGCTGAAGCAATACGGCGATGTTGAGGAATACGTCAAGTTTAATACGGAGAAACAGAACCAGCAACAATTGAAGAATTTTAATCTCTTCGAATATCGGCGCGTTATTCTCGACTTGATTGTGAATCTATATCAGGCACTTGTCATGCAGATACAGAGTTTGCTAGATCCCAAAATTGTTCCAGCCATATTGAACAATGATGAGATTCAGCGCACCCGACATCCGCATGGAATGCGCAATCGCAGTGCGGATGCCTCGTCACCGGATCATGGAAATGTGCCTGCTTGGAAGCAGCTAATTGGCCAATTGGAGCACTTCTACAAGCAATTCCAGCACTTCGGACTGGACAGCATATATGCTGAGCAGATCTTCAGTCAGCTTCTCTATTTCGTCTGTGCCGTGGCGCTCAATTGCTTAATGCTGCGCGGCGACATTTGTATGTGGGAGACTGGCATGATAATACGTTATAATCTGGGCTGCATTGAGGATTGGGTGCGCGACAAGAAGATGGTGAGTAGCAACTAGTTATCTCCATATCTATTATCTTTCATCTGCATCTCTTTTCTATCCGCAGTCGAATGAGGTGCTCGCTCCATTGGCCCCATTGAATCAAGTCTCTCAGTTGTTACAGTCGCGCAAGAGCGAAGAGGATGTACAAACCATATGCGACCTGTGTACATCGCTGAATACCGCCCAGGTGTTGAAGGTCATGAAGTCATACAAACTGGATGATTATGAAAGCGAAATAACAAACGTGTTTCTGGATAAGCTGACACAGAAATTGAATGCTCGCAAAATGGTAAGAAGCTTAGAAATAACTGTAATATATAACGTGCTTTAATGCAGTCTCATTTGCAGCCCAAGAGCGATGAATTCACAATGGACCAAAACTTCATACATCCGTTTAAGGTGATGTTCAAGTACAGTGACATCAAATTGGAGGAGATTGAGTTGCCGCCACATTTAAATCTCGATGAATTCCTCACGAAAATATAAATTTAGTACGGGAGTCCGTGTGAAACAAATAACGCTCGTTTGCCATTTTGACGTGAATTCATCTTGTTTTGTATTATATTATATATGAGTCGTATTTAAGTGTAGTCAGCATGCAAAAGTGCATAATATGTAGTTCCTGTTTAGTCTAAAGTCCAAACGATACCCTTTTACATTCTATTCTTTTCCCCTTCAGACCGCCAGACTACTTTTTGCCAATTTTGTAAACTTATTTATGCAGACATTCGAAACTTGTTAAGGGTTCTCAACCAATGAAATTATAAGAAAAAAATTAAATGTATGTACATCATGTGGTTGGAGTTCAACTCCATTAAACAGAAAATATCATTCCTAAGTTGCAATAATTAATTAACCTTGTACCTTAAATTATAAATCTGAAAAAAAGAGACATATATATATATTTATATATACAACAACTATATATTTATGTATAGCAAATGTACTTAATGATCGTAGAAATGTTATAGAATTGTATGTATACAACGGCCGATTTGTTGCCTTAATCGATTGCAATACAGACTTGTAAGTGTTAAGATAATAAGAATCTATATATATATACCTGTAACTATATACACATATGTAGAGCGCTATATTTGTAACGATGCTGTATTCGATTTATGTATTCTCATATTATTTTTTTGTTTTTGATTTATAACTTACGTGTGTTAGCGTGTGCCCTAAATGGAACTTAGCTGAATCAAACTGAAAAAGAAACGAAAACAATATTTACTGTTGGCATTTGCTTGAAAAGTTATATGATAAATCCTTTATGTTATATATAAATATTTATATATAATCATACACATGTACAATGAAATTATACCGGAGAATTTGTACAAAGGCGATTTACACTTGTATGCGTCAATAAAAGCTATTAGCAAATAACAGGTGCCTTGGACAGTTTATTCTTGGGCAGGTCAAGAGAGGGCAATCGGTTAGTTATCATGCCCGTTGCCACAGTGGCTCCGTTCTCGCGTATGGTGAAGGGCTGGCCGGGTGTCATGACCATCTTGCGCAGCAGCGTGACACGCACCTGGCCATGCTCGCCGGGCATCAGCATTGACTCCTGTGGAACTGAAGGGGGCTGCGGTTAGTAATGATATTTTAATAATAACTTAATTGAGCAACTCACTTATATCAATGCGAGCTGGTTGATTCCATGTCATACTGAACAGCTGCTGTATGTACTTGGATAACATGGGCTTGCTGCGTCCGCCCTCGGCACGTGAGAGCAGGTACATGGAGCCCTCGAAGTGATTGGATATATCCTCCGAGCCAGTTGCGCAGAGCAGCATGCCTCGTTCCACAGATGAAATTTTAATGCCCCGCAATAGGGCGCCCACATTTTCGCCGGCCAGTGCCTGCGGCACGCTCTTGCGGAATATCTGTATATCACTAACGCTGGTCTTCAAATTCTGGCTAAAGCCAAGAAGATCGGCGTCCGCGTTGCGGGCTATGGTGCCGCGCTTAATAGTTCCCACGACCACAGTTCCGCGTCCTGGCACCGTAAATGCGTTATCGATGGGTAAAATAAAGGGTGCTTGGGTATCCCGCGTGGGCGTTGGTATATACGAGTCGCAGTGCGCTAGCAGCTTCTCGATTGCTGGCACACCAAACGGGGACATATCGTCACGCAACGCCAGCAACGCCGAGCCACATATCACTGGACTGTTGACGCCATCGAAGCCAAAGTCCGACAGCATTTCACGCATTTCAATCTCTACCAATTCCAGCACCTCGTTGTCAACTAGATCCGCCTTGTTGATGAACACCACAATACGCTCTATGCCCACTTGCTTTGCCAGCAACAAATGTTCCCGAGTCTGTGGCATTTGTCCATCAGTGGCGGCCACCACTAAAATGGCTCCATCCATTTGCGATGCACCCGAAATCATGTTCTGCAAGACTTTCAGTTAGAGAGCAATAATAATTTGTGAGCAGTCCGACTAACCTTTATGTAATCCGCATGGCCCGGACAGTCGGTATGTGCGTAGGTGCGTTCTGCGGTCGCATAGCCAATGTGACAGGCATTTATGGTAATGCCGCGGGCCTTTTCCTCAGGCGCCCGATCGATTTGGTCATAAGACATGTAATCAGCCAAACCTTTTCTCGACTGAATTTTGGTTATTGCCGCCGTGAGCGTTGTCTTGCCATGATCGACATGCCCAATGGTGCCCACATTGCAGTGTGGTCGCTCCCGCTGATTGGGGTCCACCTTTAGCTTGTCCTGAATATTTGTCGCAAACGACCGTGAATTAGCGCATATTCTGCTGGTGCTGCGGCCATTGCAAGGAGTAGTCAATGCACCATGCAGCCTGTGTAGAGCGGCTGCTTCGTATTGCCTGCAAAGCTTAAGCAAAACACGTCTCATAGTCAGAAAAACCAATGCACGTAACCGTTTGCAAAGAGCTAACACGCCGCAGTGTCCAATCAAAACAAAAACAGCTGTTTTCGTTAGCGATTACCAGCTCGCAGTGTTGTAAAATGACCTAAAGTTTAGAACGGAAATTTTGTTGCAAGAAATTTTGTCGATACGAGTAAATTTTGTAAAATGTCTTTATTTATTTGAAATATCTTCTGTTTGTGGGAATGTGTTTGAGTACGATGCGGCGTCCGTTGACTCCGCAACTTTTAAACTATTTCGTATGATTTTATGCGTACGCTTCATATGCACACCCAAACTGACGCGCTCTGCGAATTTCGTATTGCATAGACTGCACTGCAAAGTCTTCTCCTTGTGGATGTGACGATGCTTGACCAATGCGTTTGCATTTGTGAATGCTTTCTGGCATATTTCACACACCTTATCGCGTATATTCAGATGCGCCTTTATGTGGTCCTTGAGATCGCGTTTAGTCAGAAAATCCTTGGGGCACATGCTGCACTTGAATGCCCGTATTTTGGTATGCACAGCCGTCACATGGTTGCTCATTTGGATCTTCTGCTTGAACGATTTGCCACAAAACTCACAGACAAACGGCTTGGCTACGTGTTTCTCGTCATGGGTACGCATATGGCTGCTCAATTGGCTGGCGAATGCAAAGCTGCGCTCGCACACGCTGCAGCTGAACGTCTTGCCCATGTGCACACGCTGATTGTGCTGCTGTAAGTGGCAGCGGCGCTCGAAGTGATTCTCACAGAAGGTGCACTTGAACCAGCCACCTTCGCCGATCTTATGTGCTCTATATTGATGCGCCTGCAGAGCGTGATCCGTGCTGAAGCTGGTCTGGCAAACGTCACAGGGTATTTGTTGGCGGAATGTTTTCGTTCTCAGGAAGCTCTTGCATGTGTCAATATATCGTTTCTCGGCCTTCAACAGGCCGATTGTCTGGGTCTCTGTCAGTCCTTTGATTCTGCGGGAATACCATTGCCGTAAATGCAGCACACTGTCGTAGACATCATAGTGTGTGACCACGCCCAAGGGTATCTCGATGGCAAGCAGATCAGTCATTGACATATAAGCTGATTTGCGTTCACTTAAATTGGCAAAGTCCTTGTGCGTCGGATCGTACAGCTGTGGAAACTTGGAATAGAGCGCTATAAACTGTGTTGTCAGTGGATTTGTTTCTGTAAACACCAACTGTAAAGAGTCTATGATTAGATATTGAATAGAAATTGAACTAAAACCACTTGATTCACCTTTATTTTATTATCTCCACTTTCGTCGTCACTTTCCGGCTCCTCCACATCACAGCGCTTCCCTAGGAAGCTATACATTTCGTAATAATACAAAGGTAATTTTGTTAGTTTCTTGGTACGCTTCTGACGACTTATCGTCGCGTACTGGCTGTGCAGGCTGGCTATACATTTCTTGAGCTTGTAGTTAGTTAAATGCACATTAATATTTGTTTTCAACTGCTCAATTAATGTGGCGTAGGCAGCTGAACGTTTTGCCTTATCCTTGAAAGAGCCATGTTTGGGATCCCAGAGACAGGGATGCGCCTTGTAGAGCTCAATGAATTGCGTAATTCGTGGATTGCGGCGATAAAATGTCGGATTGAACTAAATGTATATATGGAGAACAGAACTTCTTTAAATCGTTGAGTTTTTTTTAAGGAATATAATAAATGTATTTACTTTGACTATTGGCGTAAAACTCTTTTTGCTGAACTCTTCTTCGGGTTTCTGGGCATCTGCTTCAGTCGGTGATTCGTCTCCCATCTAAGGCAAAGAATTAAGAACTTGTTAAAAATAGAGATTATCCTAATATTAAATTCTTACCTCTTCTTCAAAATCATATTCGCTATCGTCGTCATCTTCTCTGTCGCTTAATGCATTTGGTAAATCAACGAAAGCTGCTTCTGCTAAACAATCTTTATTGTCAACCTCATCCTCACTTTCTATATGCATTGGCTCGGTTTTGAGCTCTTGAGAGCTGTCCCAGGACGCCTTGTCCTCATCTTGTTCCTCTTTGTGTACATTTCGTATGTGATAGACAAATTCTTGCCATTTCTCCAGGCTCACTTCGACATCGCAGTGACTTTTACAATACGCACAGCTTAGAAAGAAATCGTCGTAATTGTTGCGCACTAATACTGTTCCACAAATAACCATTTTGAGCACATTTCCTTGCAGTCTTTTAATTAATACAAATATTTATAAACATACTTAAAGTGTTCTAGCTTCAGATAATTCATTATCATAGAATGTGATATCGATATAATTATCAGCTGCTTAGCAGTGCTGAAAAGCTGCACTAAAAACCTTGGCGCGCGAAATTGTTGATTGCAGGTCGGCTGACAATACAATACCTATCGAAATTGTCGATTGCTGCCGGTATTATTTTTAGTATTTTCTCATACAAAAGCATTGACAAGAATACCGATAAATTCAATCCGTGGACCATCTCTATTGAGTCTATCAGGTGGTTGAATTAGGTGTTGATAGAAGTAGATTAAACATAAAACAAATAAGAATTATGAAAAAGGTGCTGGTAACAGGAGGTACAGGACTTGTAGGCAAGGCCCTTCAAGACGTAATCAAAAATGAGCAGCCAAGCGACGAGGAATGGTTCTTCGCCGGCTCAAAAGATGCAGATTTGACGTAAGTTGCATTTGTTTACATCGAAGCACTTGGTTTCATATTTAAAAATAATACAGGAATCTGGTTGCCACGCAGGCACTTTTTGAGAAAGTGAAACCAACGCACGTTATACACTTGGCCGCCATGGTCGGTGGACTGTTTCATAATATGAACAACAATCTCGATTTCTTGGTAAAGTGATTTTGCAGCTGTTTTGCCAAACCGTATAATGAAATTCTTCAATGCAGCGCAACAATTTACTGATCAACGATCATGTACTCCAAACTGCACACGAGCTGGGCTGCACAAAGGTTGTCTCCTGCCTGTCTACCTGCATTTTTCCGGACAAGACTAGTTACCCCATTGACGAGACAATGGTGCACAACGGACCGCCACATGTGTCCAACTATGGCTACTCCTATGCCAAGCGTCTGATAGACATACAGAATCATGCTTATCATGATAAGTACGGTCATCTGTACACTTCCGTGATACCTTGCAACATATTTGGACCGCACGACAACTACAAACCAGATGTGAGCCATGTTATACCGGGCATGATCAATCGCATGCACAAGCTGCGCACAGAGCAGCCAGAAATACCGGAGACTGAGAAAGTGTTTACTGTTTATGGCAGTGGCAAACCTTTGCGTCAGTTTATCTACTCTCTAGATTTGGCTAAGCTAATGATCTGGGTGCTGCGCAACTACAACAGCGTTGAGCCCATAGTGCTGAGCGTCGATGAATCGGCGGAGGTGACAATCTATGAAGTAGCAGAAGCTATAGCCAAGGCATTTAATTTTAAGGTAAAGAGAGAGCATGAACAATTATTCTACCAATTATTCTACTCATATATACATATTTACAGGGCAAATTGATCTGTGATACGAGCAAGGCAGATGGACAATATAAGAAGACCGCATCCAATGCAAAGCTACGCAGTCTCTTGCCGGACTTTCAGTTCACTGACTTCAAGACAGCCATCGAGGCTTCCGTGCTCTGGTATATGATAAACTATGATCAGGCTAGAAACTAATACATATTTGAACTTGTATATACATTGTATAATTGCAAAATGTATTGTGATTTGATTTGTTGGCCAACAGCAATAGAAAATGCATTTTCGTACGATATTTATATATCTAAATAATTTCTCTTTATTTAAAAATTAAATAAGAAGCTAAATTTAGATGCATAGACACTTTATACAACATGTTTAACATATTACATACATACATATTTTATACGATTTTACGATATAGGAAAAGCTTTAAATAACGGTAAATCTCGGTATTGGTGTTCTAATATTGTGAAAAGAGGTGCAGGGCTTAAAGAATGGGAAGCTTAAACTTAATGCTGCAGTAGAATAAACAAAAATATTTTATCATATTTTTTAATCTCAATTTCTGGTAAAGGAGCTCTTCTTCATTGTTGTTGTGATTTTTTTTTTTTGTTTGGGGGTTTGTTCGTCTGTGTTTATTTATTTATTTTTTTGCTTTCTTTGCTCTTCTTTTTTTTCGTATTGGCGATTCGTCGAGCTTGTCCGTAGAACCTAGGCTTATAATTTAATATTTTACAACTTGCTGGACTCTATACCATTTAAAATACAAACAGTTACAAAGAATTGTCTCGTCGTCTATTTGAACTAAAATAGAGAGAGAGAGAGAGAGAGAGTGAGTCGGAGATAGATTAAAAAAATTGTGGCAGTTAAACGAAAGATCTAAATTAGAAAGTGGGTGTCCGACATGAATGTGGAGGGAAGGGAAGATGTGAAGGAGCTCAACAGCAGCGCAAAGCTGGCTACATTAAAAATAGTTCAACTAATAAAAACGTGATCTCACATCATTCTATAATCATCTCTTTCTGTTTTCTTCAACATTAACGTCTCGGTCCTCTTCTTTATCGTCTGTTTGTTATACACTTGGTTGGCTAAAAAAGAAGCTCTGCTGGGAGCAGAGGATGTGCTTTAGAAGCGCCTGAGCAGCAAGGGCTTGCTGCGGTCCACGAATGCCTGATTTATCCATGAGATGTCGGGCTTCGAGAAGGTCACAGTTTGGTTCTCGCCGCAGCCCTTCTCGAAGCTGTAGATACCCTTGAGAACGACAGAGGAGCCGCTGCCGCAGGCGAGCGCGCTGCCCTCATCGAATTCGCACGCATCGAACTTGGTGGCACTGCAGACACTGGTGGCATCAGCGCCACAAGACTTCCGTGACTGCTTTATCGTCTCAGTCACGTGCATAATGGCGCCCTCCTCGTGAACTAAAAGCGAGTGGCACACAGATTAGCATCAAGCATGCTTTATATGGATATTCTAGTTTGTGGCTTACTACTCAACGCCAGCTGGCCCCAGCCAGTGGTCACGCACTGCTCATTCTTTTCTGGATCCTTGTCGCTGATGCAGATGGGGCCAATGTGCGTGGCGAACTCCAAGCGTCTCTCCAGGCGTATGATGGCCATGTTATTGGTTCCGTCCTCTGGATTATATTTGGGATGCACATCGATAGACTTGACGCCAACCAGCTGGAATGGCAGTGGTTCATTGGTGCTGCCCAGTTGCCATTCGCCGGCCTTAACGCGCACATCGCTGACGGGCAAGCTGCAGCAGAAATATATATGAATACATATCTTGGGTTAGTCTTATCTGCGGTTAATCTTAGGTTAGCTAACACTTACTCAGCCACACATTTGGCCGAGGTGAGGATGATATCGTCGCCAACGATGGCACCGCCGCAGAGCAGCTTCTTGTTCGACTCGCGAGCAATCATTGCTTGCCATGGAATCTCAGCGAAGTTCGTATCAATGTCCTTTATGCCTTTGGGTTTGGTGCTGTCAAAAGAGGGAGGGAGAGCCAGAGAGAGAGAGAGAGAGAGAGAGAGGGAGAGAGAGAGAGAGAATATTAGGCAAATATTTGAATTGAATTGAATTTCAGCTCTGCTTACCGCTTGTTGCGCATGGCGCAGACGCCATTCGGATTGACGGGCCATGGATCAACGTAGTTGGGATCGCGACAGCACTTGCCGGGCGCTCCAGAGTCGGGTACCAGGCAGTCGGTGAGTGGCACACGGAACGCAGCCTCCCGGGCGCTCAGCGTCAACGGGGTTTCGCTCAGTACGCCGAGCGCATTGCAGTAGTTCTCCGGGGTGCAGACGAGCGCAGAGGCGCACTTGGCATAGTGCTTGGGGAAAACGTCGTTAGTGCCGGGTAAATTGTCGAAACCCTTGGGCGTGGGGAAGATCTGGGGCGAGAGTTGATCCTCGCCGCGGTACACGGGGTTCGGATTCGATGGCTGTGGCACACGATCGGGCTCGTAGCGTGTGGGTGGCTGGGTGGGGCGTGGCTCGCGGTGTGGAATCTCATTGACGCCCACGGGCGGCAGATAGTCGATGGGGGGGCGACGTGTCGTGGTCACTGGCCGATATGGGGTCGGGGTGGGTGTTGGGCGAGTCGTCGTCTCAGGCGGCAGGTACTGGTTTGTGGGGCGTGGTGCGGGCGTACTGGTTGGCTGTGGACGGTAAGTGGACTGGGTTACGCGCACGGCTGGCAGGGTGGGATTCGTGGGCAGCGTAAAGCCCTTTTCGGGCACAGTCAAGATGTAGCCAGTACTGGACAGCGTCGTCGCGGGTATGCGGCAGCAAACCTGTGGAGCATAACAGCGATTGGGCTGCAGAGAGAAAAAGAGAGAGAGAGAGAGAGAGAGAGAGAGAGAGAGAGAGCGAGGTGAGTTTATTAGTTGCAAATCTGTATCTGTGTCTGTGTCTGTGTGTCTGTGTCTTTCTGTGGCGCATTAAATTGCCAGCAACAAGCGAGTGGCAACTGCTGCCAACCACTTGGGCTTGCTAACCGTTCATTAAAGTGGCCAATGCTGCCTGTCAATTGTTTTTCTGCTTCTTCTTCTTCTTCTTTAGTTAGCTTGTAGCTCCTCTTCTTCTTCTAGCAGTTTGGCATGTGGTGTTAATGTTAACCCAGAAATTTGCAGTTTCATGCTGCAATCTTTGGCAGCAACATTTTGAAACGTTTCAATTGCAGCTGCTCAAGTGGCAAGTTTGTCACCTAAGTCATTTGCTCACTAGCAACACCTACACACACACACACACACACGAACAGCTATTAATTTGCTTATTTATATGCTAAAATCAGTCAACAATTATTGCAAACGGAAAACATTTTCGAGACTTTGTGGGTGCGTGACAAAACACAAAAGAAACAAAAGAAAAAAAAAAAAAAAAAAAATAAATTAATGACTAAATTGTTGAAAAAAATCACTTATGAAAATCAAAATCTAATAATAAAAAACAAACACCGTCTAGACATATAAATAACATTAATATTAATATAAATGTGCACATTAACGGCTTCATTCAGCGGCAATTAGTTGGTTCGTTTACAAAACAAAATGCCGCTAGAAAAAAAGCTAAGACAAATTATAGAGGAAAATATGTATAAACAAATAAAACTGTATATATAAGTATTTAAAGAATATTTGATTGAAAATCAAATTAATAACTGCCAAAACGAAGATTAAATGCTTTTTGAGAACTCAGCTGGCCAGGAAAATATTTATTATATTGAATATTATATGTAGTTATCGAAATGCTCAACTTCTCAAATTAGTTGCATATAATTTCATGGAACTCCACTAAACGTTAGGCAAAATATTTGAGATCAAGCAAAGATTCAATAATTATTCTTCGGCACTTCAGATCTTGCTTCAACATTTTTATAGAGCTAATTAACACATAATAATGTTTCATTTTAAATTTCATTCAAAATTTCAAGTTCAAGTTCAAGTTTAAATGCGCTTTAAAATTAATCGATTTTTATATAAAATCTGCTGCAGCTGTGTAGAAAGTGAAATTAATTTAAATGATCTCACACTTATCGGCAATAAGATTATATAGCTCCAATAACAAATCGAAAGCGGCATAAAAAAAAAACGTGTTTGCACTTTATAGGATATTCAAAGAATTATTATATCGGCTCCAAGCGAGCTTAGCAACAGCTCAAATTGCTCGATTCATTCGATTCTCGCGCAAATTAACAGATTATTATTGTTTTATTTTTTCTTCTTTTTTTCGCAAATAAAAAATCATAAAGAAAAAAATGATTACGTCTTGATGCTTGTTTTGTCATAAGGCTTACGCAATCGTAATGTATTTATATAGACGCCCCCACAAAAGAATTGTAATGGAAATTCTAGCATAAGCAAATGCAAAACTGTTCAACAACAAATCCCAAGCAAAGAGGTGCCAGACTCTTCGCACGGCCGCGATGTTGTCAACGTTGGCGACCTTCTGTTTTATTGTTTCGCGCAATTTGTAACTCATAATTCAAGAAGCAGACGGACGGACTACTGCTGGGAACTGAGTTGATGAAGAAGAAGAAGAAGCAGAAGCAGAAGTAATGCGCACATTTGTTAAAAATTAAGCGAGAAATGAGCAGCGACAGGCGACAGTCGAAATGCAGTCGAATGACAAATTAATAATTATAATTAAATGTGCGATGCTGCTGCGGCAGCGGCAGCGGCTGCGGCTGCGGCTGCTGCTGTTTGTGCCTGGCCTACATAAGCAGCGATCCGGTTGTCCTTCCTGCCTTGGGGTGAGTTCATTTCTTATCATTATCATTAGCCGGCGACCCTCTCTTGGCATAATTTTCATCAATTAAGCGTTAATCAAATGTTATCTTAATGTAGACATCACTCAATGACCATTGAGCACGCATTAAATTTTATGTAATACATGTTATCATTAAAAGTAAACAACAACAACGACAACTACAACAATGCGAAAACTGGCATAATTTGTTGTTGCTGTTGTTGCTGCTGTTGTTGTTGTTGTTGCTGTTGCTGATCAATGACAAGGCAGCAGGCAGCGGGCAGCAGGCCCTCCACCTGATTGCCGATTAAGTCGCGTCGCTGGCTCTCTTGCTTATGATCAATCATTTTGCAGCTTCAAGATAACAACAGCGACAACAACAACAACAACGAGAGTCGCAGCTACTTGTACAGGCGACAGCTAAAATATGTAATCGCCAGCAACAACAACAATGACGCCAAAATGCTTTTAATAAATTTTGTTGGCCATACAACTTGTTCGCTGTTTGTTGTTGTTGCTGTTGCTGTTGCTTGTCTCAATAGCCGCACACTGCAATTTGTTAATAATGTTGCAATTACAATAAGTATATGAAATTTCATGAAATTTATTTTAATGTCATTGGCGAGGCAAGGCAAAAAAACCAAACCAAGCCAGCCAAGCGGCAGCAGCTGCTGTTCCTGCGCCAGCATAAGAAAAAAACAAATGACTTAGGCAACGAACTGACCAAAGGCTAATACATAGTTCATGAACTGAAAAAACTGCAATGGGTTAAAGTGGCTTGGGAAACTGCAGAGGAAGCTGAGATTTCAGCAAAGTTTTGAGCACATAGAGGGAAGCAGATGGAGAGGTAGCTATATAGAGAAGGACTGTTAAGAGAAGTAGATGAGTGAGAGAAGGAGAAAGGCAAGTTCAGTTATGCCTATAGCCAAATTGCTACTGCCAACAGCTCACGCTGTTTCCTAGACGCGTCGGAGATGAAGCCATTGGCCACTCGGCCATAGAGTCTCAGTGGAGTCTTTGTAACTTGTGGAGATTTGTAACTTAAGCCTGGCCTGGCAGCAGAGCTCTCTGCGAAAATGTCAAATGTTCTTCGTAAGCCTTATGTTAAATTCAAATTTATGGCACAAATATTGCGCGAAATTGTTTTTTATGACAGCGTTAATGTGGCAAATACCACAGCATTAAATTCCTCGATCTTGTAGCCATTTTTTGTTGTTGTTGTTTGTTGTTATTTTTGGCTTTGGCAATTTATGCGCCTATAAAAAATACAAAATTTTGGAATTTAAATTTTTTTTGTACTCTTGCAACTGTGATGCTGGCAGAGCTTGGCTTGGCTCTGCCGGGCCCGGCCCTGATGTGCATTGGCCAGTTGACAGCATTTAATGGCCCAAGTTTGTCGCTTAAGTCTTTTGTTTATGCAACATCTTCTAGCCATAAACAATGCATGCCAGCTGAAGCTGGCTAATTTATGGCGCGCGCTAACTCCGATGGCAAATAAATTAAATCAAATTTGTAGCGCATTACGAGCCCCATCCGCATCTGTTTCATATAAATTAAAAATATGCATATAGAGATGCGCGCCTAACTATAACAGACAGATCGCATGATGATATGCATGCCTGCATATTAATAATTATTATAATTGACAAGGAAAGATAAAATACGAAATGCAGACAAAGAAGTAACGAAAACTGCCAAAATATATTAAAAACTATAAACAAAATCAATAAAAAAATGCAAAACAAAAAGAAAAAGAAAAAACTAAATTTTAAACGTCAACGCGACGCCCCCCACTGCCTCTGGCTGTCTCCGAGTACGACTACGACCTAGACCTTGAAGTTGTAGTTGTTGTCATCATCATCATCATCATCATCATCGTCATCATAATTATCTTGCTGTTTGTTGTTGTTCACTCGACATGCTCTGTTTGCTTTGTTGTTTGTGCTGTCCGTGTCTCGTCTTGTGCTTTTTTCCTCTTCAACTTGACAGTTAGCTACTCATATGACTGTCTATGGCTAAAAGCTTAAATAACGTAACATTTGCGTCGGCAAAAAAACAAAAAAGCAAACCTTAATGTTTGCCTTAGCGGAATGCTAGGTCAGTAGCGGGTTTCAATGCGAAACGGCCTAATGGTCAAGATTTGCGTAGATTTCTGAGGGATTTCGAGAATTTTGCATAATATACGTGATATACGCGATCGCTCAGATTGATCACAGAAATAGTCTTGATGGCGCTTAACTTGATTTGCATGGCAAATAACTCAAGCATGGCTGAGCTTAATGTGCGATCGAATGTCGCTTTGAGGTTACGATCTGATCTTATCATAAATTATATATATT